CCCCCCTTTATGTCACTTCCAGGACTAAGCTCCCTCATTCTTCACGGATAGCAAGTGCAGATCCATCCCCCTGCTAACCCACAGTGTCATCAGAAACCGCTGTTTTAACTCAAGGGTGCCAAAATAGAATATGCTGAGGGTTGGAAAGTGTATACTCATTTCTGAGAAAAGACAGGAATAAAGGGAAGGTTTTTTCCCTTGTGGCATTTGCCACTTCATGAGTGGAATACCCATCCCTGCATTTTCAGAAGCGGTACTGATTTTTGAGATTGCAGTGTTTGGAACTTCCCCAGGGAACGTAAACACCATATGATGATAGCTTTAGGTAACCAAAACACCATCTAACAGGTAAACTGGGCTGCCTGCATCTTCAGATTAGACAGTCAAGAGCAGTGTGTTTATTTGACTCTTTTATTGTCCTGCTCCTGTCTGTTCTTGCTCAGTCAGGGTCACCTAGAGTACATTACTCAGGATTGTCCAGATGGCTCTTGAATACCTCCAGGGAAGAAGACTTCACAACCTCTCTAGGCAACCTGTTCCAAAACCTTTCTTCATTTCCCAGAGCATGGAGAGAGCCCTGTCTTCCAAGTTTGCATCTCAGATTGTTAAAATACACCGACACCAGCATGCAGAGAAGAAAAAACACTTATTGGAAGTTCATGGCTACAATTTACACATCAGTAACTTCAATGGGGTGCTTTAGAACATTTTCCTCCTATTCTTTGAGACAGAAAAAACACTTATTATCCCCATATGAAAGGCAGCCAGAGTTTTCCTTGTAATAGACCTTGCTTTGAAAAAACACTTATTGGAAGTTCATGGCTACAATTTACACATCAGTAACTTCAATGGGGTGCTTTAGAACATTTTCCTCCTATTCTTTGAGACTGAAAACACTTGGTTTATCCCCATATGAAAGGCAGCCTTCTTTACTATGTAAATAATTAACCATCATTAGAAATGTGTGGGTTTGCATTCTGGTCTGGCAGGCAGCGTGCATGCAGAATTCTCTTTGGAGTCATTTGAAACCTTAGGGAGCACACGGGAGAGAGAGTCCAGAGAGGTGGTGGAGTCTCCGTCCTTGGAGATATCCAAAAGCCATCTGGACATGGCCCTGGGCAACCAAATGTACGTGGCCCTGCTTGAGCAGGGGAGGTGGACCAGATGACCTCCAGAGGTCCCTTCTAACCTCAACCATTTCATAACCACCATTAATATGCAGTAATGCATATAATTGCAGGAATACAAGGCATTGAGGAAACAAAATGTTATTCATATCCAGTGAGGTTAAGGCAAAATTTACTCCTACTCTGGATTCAGATCGATATTTGCAATTCAAGGAGCCTAGCGGCAGAGCATCCAATTGATTGGTTCTAAGCTAAACTAGTTGCAGAGACTACTTTGAAATACAAACTAGCTGTCAAAGGATTAAGAATGCATTGGGAGAAAGATACAATTTCTCATTTGATCCAGCTTTTTCTCACAATGTTAGAAAATGGTCCTGATTTTAAGGTGAGCAGAGTTTGCCAAAGAAAAGAATAGTATTAGTAGGATTATGTCTAATAAAGAACAAGAAAGGGTGATCAGCCATAAAAACCTCCGTGAGAGGAAGAGACCTCCTCACAATGGCAGCTCCTGTACCAGCTGCTGCTACAGTGCCTTCCTCATTGACTTCCACGTACGTCTTATGGACAACATTTGACAGTACCAGAGATTTTGCAAACGACATTGCAGAAAGGTCAGCTTTTGATTCATTGAAGACGTCGGTCATCCCCATCTCTTGTAATACCTCATTGAGGTTAAAGGTGCCTTCAAGCTTGAATTGGGGGAGGTGTACCTCTACTGTTGTCTCAAACATGTGCTCTGAAGAGGCCCACAGCATCAAATTTTCATAAGTCATTGTGCTTTCAATCTAGAAGATGGGGGGGAAAAGAGCTTTAAAAAGTGAGCAGCTTTGAAAAATTTAGATCTTTACCCAGCCATAATTCAGACCAAGAAATCCAGCCATAGTCCATGATATATACTGCCTTACCTGCTCCAGTCCACTGGTAGATCCATCAGCCATGTCACCTGGCAGCAGGATGATCATGCTCAGTGACTTCTGAGCATAAGGGAGTTCAAGGATCTGAGCACCCATCTCCTCAATGTAGCCTAATTTAAATGTTCCTTTCTGATACATCATCTGCACAGGTTTTTTCTCATTCTATTTAGAAGAATTATACAGTCAGTACGGCTTTTAACATTTAAACTTACTCTAGGTGTGGTATCAGTAGTCAGGGTTTCAGCAGTAATTGCTGCTAGGCTAAACATTTCACTTTATTTTGTTGCATCTACAGTGACACACAAAACATCAACTTTGTCATGCATAAATGAAGAAGATAATGCTTTGGGAAAAACAAACAAACAAACCATTTCTCTGCAACTGATCAGACAGTGAAGTTGCTTAATAGGGTTACACTTCCAAACAGGCCAATGCTGGTTAAATTTGCAAGTCCTAAGTTGGACTGGGATAAAAAAGAAATAGCACTGAATGAATCAGGCTGTCATTTATCAGACTAATTGTTTAGGCAGGCAGCAATAAATAGGTTAAGAGCAAAATCATAGCGTTTCTCAGGTATCCTCTTCTAGGTCGTATTATGTTGGCTTTTTTTGTGATGGGGTTGTTTGGAATCTTTATAAAGGCTCAAATTGCCTTTTACAGTTAGCTGACTTCTTAGCTAACTTCTAGAGCAGTGAAAGAAGACTTTTTCATATGATGTTTTCAGCAAAAATCCTGCTAGTATGATTAACATGTGAAGAAAAATATGCTTTTCTAGGAAAAACCCTCCTGCCACCTCTACCCAACAGGAGAGGCAGGTTAAGTTTCCAGCTGACCCACACCTTGCTCACAGGGCAGCTGAGCTCTGGGCATTGTGCTTCTCCATTATGCTTGCTGCAGTGCTCACAGTATCTAGGGTAAATAATGTTAAGATGTATAGAATGCAGATCTACCTTATTCAGTTTAAAATCTCTCTGTACTGTTTTTTGTTCCTCAAACTTGTGCTCCCAGGATGCTTTGAAGTAGACTACATTCACCAGCACCAGCAACGCATTTACATCAATCACACCAGGAGCAAAGAGTTCCTTGATTTTACCTAAAGGAAATTTCAGAATATACAATATTAGTTGTCATTAAGACTCTGGACTGAGACTCTCATACTTGTCTGTGAACTTAGTTTTGGAGAAACTTAGAACTCCAGCTCTTGGTTTATTCAAAGGGGCAGTACAGGCAAACAAATGGTAGACTCCTCTGCACTGTTACCAGCCAGGGAGGGCCACCAAACTAGCCAGCTGTCAGTGTCAGTGTCCATACATATGTGCCAGGTGACATTAAGCATAAGGATGGAGGCAGCATCATTATTTACCTCTTTTGGATTACATAAAGGAATCTTTCCCTTTGCACCAAGCACAGCAGTTAACCAGCTGTGGAGCTTCTGACTTTCTACATAGAAGCTGAAGTAGGAGTTGGTATGTTCACAGGCTTCGTTGGAGCACCCAGAGCAATGATGACTCCTAACCCTGGGCATGGTGGCTGGTGAACCTTCAGCCCTCTCACTGAGACCCAAATGGGGTGAAGTGAAGAGCTCTTTCCCACACCAGTCACCGGCCACTCTGCCGGTACAAGCACAGGTTTGGTCAGGAGATGGGCAACTGAGAAATTACAGAAGCCTTCAAATCTATTTGCCTGTCCCCCAGTAAGTTTTGGTTTATTTAGAAAACTTTCATCCTGCTGCTACTGCAGCTCTGGCAAAACTAAAGGAAAATAGCATATATCATGTTTAGTCTAATCAACAAGAGCAAATGGCCCCTGCTAACCTGTCAAGGGCAAGCGCTGGTTGATTGTCACTTGTGATAGTGAATCTTGCTTGTGGTAACATCTCTGATCTTTGTGGGCATTGCTATACATATAATCAGGTCTTCAGTCATCCTCCTCTTTTCCTTCCCCCCCACCGCAGGCTGTTCCCAGTCTCACCATGAAGCTCATAGCTTCCATCCCCTGCTGTCCTGTCTCTGCATTCGTGGCTGTGCATAGAAGCAATTTGTCAGGTTGAGCCTTACAGGTACTATTGCAATTATCATGCCAGGCATAAGGGTGGGAGTACAAAAGTATTTGGCAACAAACACACCTTTAATTCAGAAATAATTCAGCTTATAACTTACTCTAATATTTCAAGAGTGGATGGGAAGACATATTGTCTTTAAACAGCATAAGATTGAACACCCAGAAACATGAGCAAGTCTTTACTTTTCATACCCTGGGATTTCTTTTGTTGAAGCAGTGTAAGAAGGCATTGGTAGTATGGCTACAGATTTACTTTGGTTTACCTTGTGTCTCACTTTCAACCCAAGTGTTGATTTTTATTCTGGCAGCTTCAACAGCACCATGAAAGTCCACTGTTTGCAGCATTGTTCCATACAGTTCCTTAGAGCATGTTAGAAATTGCTGTAAAGCAAAATAAAGATTATGAGTTGGTCAAATCTGTTAAGCACTTATTCCCTTTTGAAAGAAATCAACTGTTCAGAACTATTTTAGAAATTATGAGGGACCTGCACACTTCATAACACAAAATTTCATTATGGAAACATCAACTATCTGAAGTCTGTTCAGAGAACCTTTGAAGGAGAGATACTTATTCTATTGCATAGGCAAAAAAAGTAAATAAGTAAGAAGAAAGCCAGAAGAAAGAGTCTTCCCATGGAGAACTGCATCGTTGAGGTACAGATAAAAACAAAAAATTTGAGAAGATGCAAGATGTGTTGTTTAATGCCTAAGTATCCAAATCATTCAACAGAAGTAACTGACAGAAAAGCAAAGATGTGACTAGCAAGTTGGAGTCACATAGTCGCATAGTTGGAGGCTGCTCTGTCATTCAGTAAGAAAGGAGTAAGAAGTTCAGCACAGCACACAGCAGCCCTATGCATGGAAGCGTGTAACATCTCAGACGATAAATCCTCTCTAAGCTTCCTGCTGCCCCAGCATGCCACTTGAAAGCACAGAAGTAAGTAGCTTATGGACAGCTTGAATAGGCATGTTTGACTGCAGTCACACTCTGGCTGAGTGTAGACTTATGCCAAACAGGAGCAGACTCCTGCTTTATTTTTGCCCTGTAGCCATCGATATCAACAGGGTGGTTTTTTCAAACAAAATAATTAAAAGCTGGCACTTTTGTCTCTTCCCCATCAGCCCCAAAAGACACACCAAATGCTCCATTTTACATCTGAGGGGGACATTAGCAAGGCTCACAGTTATAGGGAAGCTTGAGGTCAGGGCCACAGCAGTTAGCAGATACCAAGTAACTTACCTGCTGGAGTTCAAATCCTTGTTGTATAAAGAGATTGTTGGCAAGGGTTAAAACATATCTTTCGCCAAGGTTCTGTAGTTGTAAAAGCAGTGCCTGGAACTCTTTATGGTTAAGGTCCCCATCCTTGTTACACTGGGAATATTATAAACACAACAATCGTAACAATTCCTCCATATAGCTTTGGTTGTTAATTTACATCCTAACTAGATTACACTATAGGGCTATCTCCTGCTGTACTGATTTTTAAATCCAGTTAGTCTCAGCTTTGTAGCCTGATCCTCCTTCAGATGGGAAGACCGAAGGCTCTGGTATTGACTCCATGGAAGACTCGGCCCTTAATAAAGTATCACCCTGTATCAGGCATTTACTAGAGGATAAGGCAGTCTGTGCGTGTGATCTTGACTCCCTCCAGTGGCAGACTCTAGTGCTTTATACCTAGAAACCTGCCTTGCAGTGAAGACAAGGCTCCAGTGCTCCCCACCCGGGGACGTACCTGCGAGGGGGAAAGCTGTCTCTCCTGGCTTCCTTCTGGCTGTGTTTCTGGGGATGTGCTCTCATAATCAGATCCAAGGCTCATTCTTCCTGTATTTTTCCTGGCATGGAGCACCTGCAGTTGAAGATGCCAAATTATGGCAACTGTAACTGGGATAAAAGCATTTTCCTTGGTTATAAGGTTCTCTATGCTGTCCTGGATAAATGGTGTAGATTTATGGAAGATATTTTCTCAGCTTCAGACAGGCTAAAATGACAGGCTTGAAACTGGTCATATATTAGTGTTCAAATTCACATGCTATATCAGCTAGCCAAGAACTTGCACTTAATCCCTCAAAATGTTAGCCTCCACTAACTCAAAATATTTGCATTTGAGTTGTATTTTTATTGCTACAGTTACCTTAAATTTCAAAACAAAAAGTTGCCTCAGGCAAAGAGATAAAAATAGTTTTCTATGAAAACATCAAAACTGGCTTTTGGAATAATTCTTAGTCTTCACATCAGCTTAGGAAATATACCGACACCATTCTTAGTGGAAGCTAGTCCTTTTTTCTAATGTACAAATATCTACTGAGAAATTTCCAACAGCTTCTCCATCATAATAACATGGCATCATACATAAGCAATCTTTTTTATTGAGGATACTGGAATCCTCCTAAAATAAGCAAGAGCCCCTGTATATTGGGTTTGCGTGGCAAGGTTATGGTAGCCATGGGACTGCAAGGGTGGCCTCAGTAGGAAGAGACTGGGGGCTGACCCTGTGTCAGAGCTGATTCCAGCTGGCTCCAAAATAAGCCAAGTCTGTTTTGACAGGACAGTAATTGGAGAGTAATGTCCCTATCCTTACCTCGACCCATAAGCTCTTTCATCTTATTTCATCTCTCAGTCCTTGTTGAAGAGGGGGAGTTAAAGAGTGGCTGGGTGGACACCTAGCAGCCACCAGCTAAGGTCAAACCCCCACACCCTGGAAACCTCATGAGGAGGGCACATCTACCTTGGCTGTAGGTGACCCAGCAGTCAGACTGTGCACATGGCAGTGTTAGGGTATGATGAATGAAGATCTACCACTACAGAGCCAGCTACTGACAAGAACCTGTGCCTTAGGATTATTGTTCTTTTACCACTCATGAGCACAAACAAGAGAAGAAAAGAAAGATTACAGAGAGCAGAACTTATACTGCAGGGAGTAAAGGCACAGCAATTGGAGCAGTGATCTTCACCTCCTCCCTGACCATCTGGGTCTTTGTGAGCTCTGCAGGTGAGACATTTTGGCTCTTGAATGTCGTGATGAGTGAGCTGATGGTTCCAGCCCCCCAGGTGCTATCACTTCACATTTCTGCAACTCTCCCCACAGAGACCCACACTTTCAGGATTCTCATAGCAACCACAAGAGGAAGCACCTGCCTGTAATTCTGAAACAAAGCCTGACATTCTGACAGCAGGCTGGGGGAAAGCAACAGTGCTCCACTGTGGTGGATCACCTCCTCTCATTCAGCTCTTGCTCGCTGCTACCAAGACTGCATGGGGCCATGGTACAACTCAAGCAAGCAGGTGGTAACGACCATAGTGCACCAAGCACGACTGAGAAGGCAGCACCTGTGCTTGTGTTCATTGCTTGTTTCCTATGAGACCCTCTCACACATGTCATGCTAGGATGCCCAAAATTTCCGTTAGACGAAGAGCAAGCAATGTGGAAGCATGTCGGCACATTTCATTACTACTTACTTCTTCTATCTGAGCAGCAGTGTTGTTTCTTGCACCTAGCTGGAGCAGGGCCAGGGCAACAGAGATGCTCATTGGAGAAAAGACGATATTTGTGTCCTCTGCATTTCTGTTGAGCTTATTGTAGAGATCAAGGCAAAACTCAGTAACCGGTCTCGAAATGGAGCCCATCGTGAAGCGGTTGCTGACTGGGAGCACAAAAGAAAGAAGAAATTTAATGCAGCTTCTTGCCTAGTTAACCACACTGTGAAGCATCTGTCTGCCCTGAGACTGTCCCATAGCTGCTAAATAAAAGAAGTTTTCTAAATTCTGACAGTTTGAAACAGCCAACCTTGCACACATTTGTTGGTCCATGCTACACAGCAGGAGCAAGGGCACAGAGGGTTCGGAAAAGGGACACAGGTGCACAACAAATGTGAATTCCTGAGAAAGGACCATTTTTTTTGTCGTATCCCATGGTGTGTCTTATTTCAGGTCATGGTATTGAAATTAGTCAATTGTGGATTAACATTTTACTTCTCCAAACTGGTTTCATTTTTACAGTTACATCAACTCTTTTCTCTCATAACTACGTAAAATTAGTGACAGAAACTTGATGACAGAAACTACTCCTGCATATAACCATGTCTGGTAACCAGAGGTATGAGGGTTTCAAACAACAGGTTTATAAAAATAAAATCACTATTAATTAAATGTTTTCTTACATGAAAAAGGGTCATTAATAGCTATGGAGGCTGAACTACGTATGGAAACATGAACAATTTGAAATACAGTTTTTCACTCCTCTTGCGATTGGGCTTGATGATTTCAAAGGTCTTTTCCAATCTAAAATAGTCTGTGATCCTATGAGTTGCCCAGGAGCCACAGATTCAGGCAGGATACGCAACTAAAATTTCCAAACAAAGCAATAGCTCAACAGCCCTGAAAAGAAGTCTGTAAGTTCCTGCTCAAGGATATGACGAGACCTGTGTCACTCTTTTGTTTTGTACCAGAAACATTACAGTCTGGTACCTTTTCTGTGGGTTATTTACATTAAATCCACTCCGCTAAGAACAAGTTCCAAGCAGGAGGCCATCTGAAACAAAGGGGGCTTGAAACTCCTTTCCTGTCCTGTAAGAGAGAATTGTAAAGCTGTTGCGTGGATATCAGTAGGATCATATGAGCTTTTCTGGAATTATTACACCTCAAAAAAACCCACATCACTTTCAGTGTCAAACAAATGATATTTTGGACAGCACACCAGAAAACTGTGTGAAAAGCAAAGCAACACACTCCTGCCTGCTTGCAGACATAGAGTAGCTATGGCCTGTGTTCCAGAAAGATACTTTATTTAGGGAAAATACGCAGCCACAGTATGGAGAGAAGACCCGCACGTCTCTGCCGGCACAGATCTGGCTGTTCTAGCTTTCAGCCTGCACTGGGACAAGCATCGATGGGGTCCATCGCAAGCTGCCAGAGCTCCTTTCCACTGACGAGATGGGTGAGTGCACAGCTGGATGGTTATTCCCACTGCCCACAGAAGGCAAAGCAGACACTCCTTCTGAGCCCTGTGCTGCCCAGCTGCTGCTATCTGCAAGGCCTATTTACATGAGGAGCCCAAGCCTGTGTCACCAGAAGGCTATATAGGGGTGGAGAGAGTCTGGTGCAAAGCTGAACTTCAGGATCTTTCATTAGCAGAGCCCTTGTAAAACCTGTCCTGGGCTGTTGGTGTCCTGATCTCCTTTGCGAAGGGTCTACAGCCTTCTTGGGAAGGGGCTTTCTAGTGCTGGGGACCTCCATTCCCTTACAACCAATGCTCTCCTGCTACCCTGCTCTCCCACTGATGTCCCAGCTCTTTTATCACAGCCACGGTCCCCCTCCTCACAGTCTGCCCTTCAGAGTTTTCTTTACTCAAAGAGCTACAGTTGTTGTCCTCAAGATGCAGAATGCTCAGCCATGAGCCAGACACAAACTTTGCATGAGAAGCTGGGGCTCAGGTGCCGGAAGAGTTACCAGGGTGCTGGGAGTTGACATGGCTCAGCTGAGATGCACATTTATCTGCAAACCATCTTAGCCCACAGCAAGTGCCATACAGTGGGAATGAACTCAGCCCAGAGGAAAACAGACTTAGTCTAAGAGGATTGCTACAGTGGATTGGAATAGCTGAAAGTCAAGTTGCTGAATATATGAAAGTGCCACATGCGGCAAATGCAGATGTTTTGTGCCTTTTGACTAGCTTGAAAAGCACAGCGATAATCAATGCTTCAGCATATTTCCGACTGATGCTCTGTGGAAAAAACTTGCAATGCTGAAAGAAAAAGTTTATGTATGTTTCATACTGAGACATTTACTATACCCTGAAGTCCAGAAGTGTTTCACATACAGACCTAATACAAATGGACAAAACAGAGGAGCAATACCCCAAAGGACTGCTGAACAAACAAATTAAAGGTGAGTTGTATCTCATTAATTCTGAAAACAGCTGTTCTGGCTCTGGTGTTTGTGTCTTTGTATGAAACATTGTTTTCCTTTTCCTTTTAATAACACAGTCACCTTACCACAAGAAAAAGACGTCACACTGCATAGTCATTTCTCTTTTCTGCCACATTCATTACCTACTACCCAGAACCTTCTGAAAACAAAACTCAGTGCTTCTTTAGTGCTGAAGTTTGTATTGCTCCACTTCCACACCTCTTGAAAGACCTGAGACGGAGCTGTGAGATCGTTCATGGCAAATGTAGGTCATGAGGTATATTGTAGGTGTGCCCAAACCTCAGGACAAGTCAAGGAGAAGAAGAGTTAATAAACTTCCTCATCAGGAAGGAGGCACCTCAGCCCCACCCTGGTGGGAGAGGACTGACTGCTAAGCAGAGAGCAGAAAGCTCAGGAGCTGGGAACAGGTTTTGAAAACAAGTGTCTGGTACACCAAGGTGGCCACTCCTTTAGAAAAAGGAGCAGGCTATCCTCAGGGAGACATCCAGGTGCAAACACTATGGCCAACTCCATGGTTCTGTGAGTGGGAACCACGTAGGGAACTGCCCTGGAAACCCAAAGCAAGGGAGGAGAGGTGTGGGCTGCTGGAGGAACTTAGTTACTGAAGAATGAAAGAATTTAGTGAACGTCTTAATCCAGATTTGGGCGGACGCAAGTGTATGAATGATTCCACACCATACAGCCATGTGTGTAATCTGTGGAATCATTCAATCAGTGAGAGTTTTGGAGTTAGTGCGAGGACAGCGCAGTTTGGAGAACACCTACATGGTGGACAATAAATGGTAATATTACTTTTAAAAGATTTTGAGTGGTAAAGAGAGAAGATATAAGATCAAAAGAAGTGTTCCAGAAAGATCCTAGCTGCCATTCTGCACTAGCCAAAGTGTCTGCACTGAACATTAATAATAGTGCAAGCAGAGTTGAGGCTTTACAGCTGATGAAGGGAGATGCTTTGCATGATGGTTCAGTAACTTTTAATGAAGTACAGCAGATGGAAATCACTGGTGCTGTTACAGTGAACAAGCAGCTACGCAGAAAGAAGAGCATCCTTCAGAAGAAACCACTGCATTCCAGAGACCTTGTACAGATGACATTCTTCCATGGCTGCATGAAATGATGAACACTCCTTTTCTATAACTATTAATGATCTATTCTTTATTTACTGTTTGCTTTTGGCTAAGGGTAAATGAAATCAAGACAAAAACTCTCAAAAATTAAAAAGGTGTGCTCAAAGCTCTCATAATTAATAAGTGTATTAGATTATATTATGCAGTCAACAGGAGAAGGCAGTAAATAAAGTGGGGAGGGTAAGAGAGCTGTAGCCTTGTTTTTAAGGTAATTCTGTAATATAAGGTAAGTAAGTAGGAACCTGTTTTCCCTGATGCCTCATGATAATTCCCATTACATGTTTTACTTATTCAATCTGCATCCCATTAAGGCGCTTTAATGCACATTCATTTCTCATACACAAAGGAAGACAGACCTGGTAGAAATGATGTGTCTATCCTAAAAAAGGAGCACATGCCAGATAGTACTGTCTCTTCACATGAAAGCTGTATGATTGGTAGAAATTACTTTCTTTTTTTTTCATGACTGTTCATACACAAAGACATTTCCAAGTCTTTCTGTGCTGATTTGGAGTAAAAGGAACAGTGTATAAGAGAAATGAGATTTCATACAACACAGAAACTCTAAACATCCCTAAGTGACACAAAACATTTCCAATGTAACATGATTTAAATTAAAACCCCATACATTTCAGTACAAAATAACTTTCCAAGGGCAATGTTACCAGGCTCATTTTCCAAACAACTTAGCCTCTGGGGCTGCTGCTTCTATGCTAGCAAGGCCTTTTTCGAATTGCTTTTATTATTTTGCATCAGTACCTTCAGTATATTTTCTATCTCCTTCTAGGCCAATTATTCACACATAAACAGACATGGATGTACATTGCCCTGTTACACATTGTACAGTGGCAAATTATTTGCTATGTCTGTGTGCAGCTGCACAGGTTTCTCAGCAAGCTTCTACGTATCATTGCCAAACCCAAGAGCTAATATGTTGACAGCAAAGACTAGCATCCCCACTAACAACAACAACAAAAATCTGAATACTACTCCACCTTTCCTGTTTTATATAGTCATTGTTTAAGAATATAAACAATCCCCCAGCAGGGAGGATCAGGGTACAGGAGAAATGTGCAAGAGCCCAGCAAAAGAATTGCATGCTTTCTCCCTTATCTAGTGAACTTCTCAAGACTTTTGCTTGTGCCATGGCAACCTGGGTAAAGAAGGGAAGTTAACTTGTATCTCCCACTTTGTGGGTCAGTTTTCCCAGGTCATCAGCACCATTACTTCATGTAAAGCCCATTTCTACCAGAGTGGACTTGAAAAAGCCTACCCTTCAGCCCTTCTGGAAATACAGGCAGAAAAACATCCACTTTTTGGTACAAGCCACTGAGCTGGTAAGTCCTGTGGCAATAGAGCTTTCCAGATGGGCAGAGTAGTCCTGGGAAAATTTCAGGTTCAAAAGCCTTTGAAATTTCAGCAAGAATCTTTACATTCATAGCATTGGCCATGTGTTCCTAAATTCCCCATCTACATCCCACTGAAGACCAGCTCCCTTTGTGTGAGCTCTTAAGCTACCCAGATTTTAGCAGTGTTTTTTGCTGCCTGCAGCCTGTAGAGGTATCCCCCGCTCTGTCCCATCTGTAAACATGATGTTTACTTTACCAAGCTGCAGACTACTTTCAATCTGCCAAAAAAGAAAAAAAAAGTTATTAAAAAATAAAATAAATAAAGAATTGTTAGAATCGTTTTTACCTTCTTGCCCGAAGAGGTTAAATGAAGAGCACACAGCTGAGCTCTGGAGCACGTTCGTGTGAACACTGTATTACAAAAATCTCCCCCTCTCGTGTGGGAAAGTTCAGCATCTAACCAATTGCTGATGATAGCAGCATGTTGCAATTCAATGCAAATGCCATCAACAGGTTCCCTGCAGAAGACTGGGAAACCTTTATCTAGCAATATGCTAATAGTATTTTTTTCAAAGCTGCCCAACAAGTTTGTCAGGCAATATCTGCTGGCAGCATCTCCTGATTGCAATGCCAAGTCACTCTCAGCCAGAAAACTGGCATTAACCCTGAAGATCCATGGCTGTACTGCTGTGCAGTACATGGGGTCTCACCTGGACACAAGGATGTGCAGGGCTCATTCCAGGATTCAGAGAAGCCTTGTTTGGAGCTGAGCTTGCTTGCAGAGATAGAGCAAATGAATGGGAAATGCATGAGCTTTATGTTGCCTACAGCCATCCCTCTCTCTCAGGTAAGGAGTCAGCTTTATGTGTATGGAAGAAGTTTAATTAGAGAGGGGAAGAAGTGTTTCCTTGAACTGCAGCAGGAAAAAATCATTGGAGTTAAGAATAAAAGGCTAGGAGTGCTTGATTACATAGGTTATGTTTCCAGCATAAAGTGAGATGGAAGTAAAGACATGGGAAGCATGGAGCTGCACCAGCATAGGTTGCTCAGGTGCAACACTGGCTTATGGCAGCTGGACTCAGGGGTCAACATTAAGTCCTCTAGGATTGTATGTGGCTTTGCAACCTGGCAAATTTTCTGTCTTCCCACAAAGCATAAAACTGACTCTGGATTCATAGCATATTTGAGGCATCGGATATGGTGAGGGGACAAAGGAGGAAAGAGGAAGAAGGTCTCCCAGCATCACGTTCACCTTCCCACACTTCCTTCTAGTGCTGAAGCTGGGGCCACCTCTTCCTCAGGCACAGCACCCACTAGATTTGCTCTTTCCTGCTCCTCTGCCATGGTCTCAGCCCAGTTGGCCAGACTCCAGTGCTCCAGTGCCCATCTGGAAAGAGGGGTTTGTAAACAATGCAAGATACAATGATAAAATGAGTGCCTTTGTGACCCTTGTTCTTTTCATTGCTTTTGTGCTTCCATTTGCAATTCAACTCCATGTTTCTGGTTTTCCTTCCTGTATGTTTCTGTAGGGTTCCTTAGTCTTCCTCCTCTGTTCTTTCTGCCTCTTTACCTGCTGGGTTCTCTTTTTAATTTATTTCTGTACCTTGCCTTACCAGATATCTTTTCTTCTGCTGCTTCCATGAGTCCTAGCTTCTTTTCACTGACAGTCTAAGTATTTTTTAGTATCTTTCAAGACTTTCTTCCAAACTCTGTGCTTTCTGTCTCCTTCCTATATTAACATCGTTCCTCCAATGATTTATTTTATTTGCTCTGTACATATATTCCCTCAGAACTTCCTTGACACTAGTTGAACTGCTTTGCCTCAGGAAATGTCAATGTATGTGTAAATTCTGTCTTTTCTAGGCCCTCAGGACAGCATATTCAGGGTTCAAATTTGTACTGCTTTTTCAGTGGGGCAAATTTGCTCTATGTAGCACTTTCCAAGTTTCAAAACCAAACTGCTCTTCCCCACAAGCAACTTTTGTAGCCAGAAGACAGTAAGATGTATCCCTTCTCTTCTAAAAAATGCTGGGAGCAGGAAGTGGGCAATGACTGTGCAGCTGAGCAACTGCTGAGATGACTAGGCACATAACACTGCAGTTTGCAACTGCCTGCAAAAGCCAGCCACAGCTTGCTTTTTTTCCATTAGGGCCGTCACCCAACACTGGATACCAATGCCCTGTTGAAAGGTGAGGTGGAGCAGCTTGGCAACCTGAGCAAGTCCTCAGCTATGTTCACTTTCCCCATTGTAGCCAACACCTTTCAGCACGTCAGTGTTCCTATACACGAGCTCCCACACACGTTTTCCCATGTCCTCCCATGCAATTTCTTGCCCAAGGCCCAGAGGCCAGCATGGGTGGGACTGAACAATAGACCATAACAGCATTTCTGTCACCAGCAGGAGCCTTACTGATGCTTCTCCCTCACATGGTGCAAGGCGAATGGGTGTCATACTGGGACTGGTAGGGAGAAGAGGCAGAAGTGAAAAATAAACCTGAGCTTTCATGGGCAAGATACCCTGTTTATAATGACCAATAAAAGGGTTTGCCTTCTGCTGACTAAGTCAGCTTTGTATCTCTGACATCTCCTTGCATAGTCTGGGACACCGTGGCATTAGTCAGGAGGTGGAGAAAGATGGGCCCCACCCTGAGGCAGTGTTTCTCTCTGCTTTCATGGGATAACCCTTCCTCACAAGTCTATCGCAAGGAACTGAGAAGACATGCTTATGTAATTTTGTGTGGATGTGCTAAATGCTCTGATCAGCACTTTAAGAGAGTATGATCTCCATTGAATGAAGACTGGATCCTGGACTGGAATGTTTTCAGAAACTGAAAAAAGAGGCTGACACAGTGGTGTCTGAGCTTTTCACCTTCAGGAAATTTCATCCAGGCAGACAAAGAGAGATGGGGCAATCTGCCAGAGGTTTTCATCAGTTTAGCAGGCTTATGAAGCATGCAGAGTGAGCGTGATATCCTCTGCTGGACAACTGGAATTACCTGACAGTCAGAGCCCAAACACAAACTGTACAGACTATAAGTAAGTAGTCCATCTTGCCTATGTATGGACTGCCTGTGCGGCTGCTCAGCCAGTCAACAACCGCATGTGCAATGCCCTGACAAACCTCCTGTGAGAGAACCAGTAGAAACCATGGTTACAACAGCCCTGCATAAGTCTGACCCTAGCCTCCAAAGTAGATCAGACAATGATGGGGTGTATAAGACAGTTCCTAGACATTCAGCTATCACTGAAGTTATTGAGCTGGTAAAGATCTTCACAGCCCATCCTGTCTGAGAAGGGATTGCCTGCAAAGTGTTGTATTTTGCATTCTTCTTCTGGCTACTATCCATGCATCGGGACACATGTTTCCATATATCTTGTGGGTTGGCCATGAACCAAAACAGAACTTCTGTCTCCAAATTCACCATAACCAGTGTGTTGTTCTCTGGTGTTAGAAGAGAAATATACGTATTAGGGGTTGCACTTTCCCATTTACAAATCTCCTTCCAGTTTCTTTCAGACCTGAAGTACCAAGAGGAATTCTCAAGTAAAATGCTCCCATTTTTCAAGGGTACATAATTATCTGCTTAGTGGGACCAGCTAGTAACATAGTCCTTACTGGGAATTATCATTACGTGGTCCAGAAGGGCAATCCAGACATTGATTTAGTTTTTTATTTTGACTTTGTGAGCTAAGTAACTCGGTTCATTTTCATTGCTATCATTTATTGGAGGCCAGGAGTGAACACTGACAGTGAGCACACAAGAGTGAACACCCCAACTGATTCAGAAGGTATTGCAGACATTTGACACAGGTTTTATAGTGCTTTATTCTGAACCGTAATGAGGTAAACCAGTACTGAACATATGCAGCAGGCAGTCTTTAGACACAAATGAAATCTGATTACCATGACTTCATATGGAATTTGGAGACTGGTAGTTACAATGTTAATCACACTCAGGATGAAGTTCTTATTTCCTTCTCATACCTCAGACACCAAGTAATTGTATGGAGTCTCCTTAATGCTGAATCCAGAACTAGAAATGGCAGACAATCTGTGCATGAAAAGTGTGGCACTTCCAGTATTAATCCAACTGTTTTCTATCCTAGAATTGCATAATGTTGTTTTTCTCAGGATATATAAACAGGGCTCCTTGTAGCTGCAGTGAATTGGTCCCATCTTCCATGTCTGAAAGGCAAAGAGTCAAGAAACCCCACAGAACAGAATCCAATTTACAAACCAACATAGTTCATGCTGAAGAGTCTTCTGGGTATATTTTGTCACCATGGTTATTGCTTCTTGCATCCATAGGTCTCAGTGCAGCTGCTGTTTCTCAGATGCAGATTCTGATACTAGCCTGAATTGTCTAGCTATGCTGCAGAACTTGGGCACTGTTTCACTGGGCATTGGCAGGGTCCAGCAGGGCACCCTGGACCACCAGGGTGTAGCCAGACACAACAGGAGGGCTGTCACACCAGACGTGCACGTTTTCTCCTTGTAGGCAGTAGGAATCCACAGAGCGTGGGTCACAAGGAAGAGTAGTTTGGCCAGGAAGCAGGAACGTAGCTCTTCCTCTCAGAGCCCTTTCCAACTCTTGGTCTACCTAGAACAGGCTCTCGGTTCACTTTGTTTGGGAAAAAAGATGTCATAGAAGAACAACATATATTCATTGCTGAGGCCGAGATACTTCTCAGTAAAATACGATGTGTTCTTCACAGTGGGAATCCTTCAGCTTAAGGGAATGAAACATAAGAAGATAAACTAGTTCTGCTGCATATGTAGAGTACATTGTATTACCCCGCTGATATATGAACCTCACGGATTTCCTTTCAGAGGTGATAGTCAGGATGCCAAGCTTTACAGGAAAATGCACCGCCATAAATGTAATTGTGCTCTTTCATAATGAATATGCCCTGATTAAGGAGAACAGAACCGGCCTGAAAGAATCACATTGCGGGTTTTGTTGTGCCTAAACAAAAAGATAAATGGATGGTCAGCTTTAAACTCATCTTTGTGTTGCAGAATCCGATACCCTGGTACCTCCAGTGACTCGCCACCTTGTTCATTTACTTCCAGAGAGACTTTGTGGATGATCTTTGACATAACCACACCTTTTGTCTCACACATCTCAGAGAAATCTGATGCATTCTCATTGAAGACATTTGTCATTCCCAGGCTTTCCAGAAGTGGCTTCAGATCATAATCGCCTTCCACGCTAAACTTTGGAAGAAATACATTCACTTTGGTGTTAGCCATCATGCTGGGATTGGTCCACTGTAATAATGTCTCTGGGGTGAGTGCCTTTTCCAGCTGAAGACATAAAGGAACAATGGAAGTTAATGAGCAGTCCAAAGAAAGAGAAAAAAAGTGATTCCTGAACTTCCCGCTCCTATCAAGCCCCCCAAAAGTAAAGTCCAAAAGGCAATCTTTGCTTTTGAATTCACAACTGTAGCATTCAGGGTTAAGCTACTCTCAGGTGTATTGATGGAAATATGACTTCATCCATAGGACACACCTCTGGAGCAACTCCATTTTATGTGCATGCTCTGACTTTTAGCCCCTTACAAGCTTTTGACATGCAATCAATCACCTCAACCACCATGTGAAGGAACCTGAGAAAGACAATCCCTACCCAGGTTACACCAGCCAAGTGGCAGATCCAGAAGTCTTCATTCCTGACCCTCCAGAGTAATAAAATTGCTTGTATTTGGGGCAGAAAAAGACTCCAAATCCAGAGCCTGATCTCAGTCAAACATGCAGCTGTTTGAGCAATTTTTTAAAAACTGGGAAGTGATGAGGCAGAATTTGGGCCCTTAACAAACTGCTATCAGGAAAGGCCTCTCTTGCATTTTAAGATATGTGCTCTGTAATTTACTCCCACATACAAAAGTACCTTACAGCTGCAAAGGCACATTCCTCCTGCCTTTACAATTTATGGCCAGTTGCAGCAAATTATAAAGGAGACTTGCGTGATCATCTGTCTCCTAATCCGTAAACTTTGAAGAGAGGTGAAAATACATTCTAAAATTTTCATAGAGAAATGACATAAGAAACAGTTGTTCTTCAGGAAAGGCCTTATTCATTTTCAAACTTATGTGCGATTGTAATAAAAAATGGCTCATTTTCAGATATCTCTGCAAAAATTAAATGTAAGACCTTAGTAAATAAATCATGGATACACGTCAACTGAAATAAATGAGGACATCAGAGTAAGTAATGTCAGCAGTACTGAGTACCTAGTAAGCATGACTTTAACCACTTCACTATAGAAAGTACAAAACTCTTAAGATGAAAACTATTTGGGAGTCCAGATTTTCAAATTGATTCAGAAGCAGATTCCAAAAGTGCATAATGAGCACCTTCTGCACTTCACACTGTCCTCTGTGCACACCCTACTAAAAACTCTTGTTCACAATCTCATGCTTGGCCACAGTGGGAACAACAGTGTCACAAATATGAGATCAGGAACAGAGCAGCAGAACGAGAAGGTAAATTCACAGGAAAATTAGTTTTTGTTTCCTTCTATATAGCATCTAAATAAGAAAAACCTTCCCTAAGCACATGCCATTATAAGTGGGCTGTTTCCAGGGGAAGCGCCATGCTAGTTATATTTTTTTATCTCACCTTCTCCAAGCCAGTGGTCTCATCTTCAATCTCTTTGGGCAGCATAATGAGCATGCTTATATGTTTGTTAAGGCATGGCAGCTCAAGGATGGCAACATTTAATTCTTTTACATAGCCCAGGCAAAAAGTAGCTTCCAGATTCATCATTTGCACTGGTTTAGTTTCAGTCTGCAAAACACAAAGGAAACAATAGAGCATTCCTTTTAATTCACAAATAAGATGGTGAGAGAGGAAGTTTGTAAGCTTGCATGGAAGTGGTATGTTGAGTTACCATCAGAAGGTTTGTTGGTTTTCATAGGTAATTAAACCAGCCATAAGAGACCCTGTTGCCTTTTTCAGTAGGCAGCTTTACAAAGAAAAGTGGAACAGAATTTTACTTAATACAACAGCAACATATTGGGGATGTCCCTTAAAAGAGAAATTTACCTAGTATCAGTGGCCCTTTGTGCTTATTTCACTGAGTGCTGCAAACTATACTGTCTACATGATTATTTATTTTAATGCTCGTAAGTATCAATCACTGAATGCATCTCAAAAGTGAAGGTCAAGCTGTTCATACAAACAATCAATATTTTCTTCAGGAGCTGAAACAGAATAAGAAGAAATTACCTAAAGCCCTATGTCTTTGCCTTTCATGAAGAAAACAAACCAAACAAAACTATTTTATAAGGAAGATTTACAAACTGTACTGTTCACCTGGAAACATTTAAAATTCCAATGTTAAAATTTGAAATGTTAAAATTTGAAAAATAAAAAAAGGCACTTGAGATATTTCACTTAATTTTGGTGTTGATTGTATAATTTTAAAACTGTTTTAGCTGAAACTGTTGCTGGTGTGGTAATTTATGAATATTTTCAATGAACCTGAAAAGCCAACTTTTCTCATGCACACATATATATGTGTGTGTGTATGTGTATATTTGGAGTATAATCTTTTTATCTTACAAATGTTGCCTAGTTTTATATCTTGGTTTAAAGCTGACTGTATGATTGCAACATTCATCTCTGGTCACAGATTCATGAAGGCAATGGCCATAGGTGCTGCACACACTTAGACCTCATGGCTAAGCACAGCAGATACGCCAAGGGCTGTAATCCTCAGCCTGACTGGAAAGAGGGAGATTGATGTGGCACCATCCCTGAAGAGGAAAGCACAGAGCCAGGCACCTAAGGGGTATTCTTAAAGAGACCCCCCAGGTGAGACATTTCACTAGCTCTGTGACCATGAGAAATGCAATGTTTTGTGCTTCACCCCTACCCATTTTGGGATGCAGCCCCTGGTACAGGCTGCAAGCTCTTGGCAGAAGCTACCCATGAGAATGTGCATCTCCTTCTAGGCAATGGCTGCTTCTGATCACTTGTATTCAGCTCCTGTTGTCTAAATATAATAACAGGACAGTCTGTTTTCACACTGGGCCTTTGAAAGATGGATGTGAATGCACCAGCAAAGTTTTAAAACAACACAACAAGCAAACTGGTTTAGGGACCCTTGCAACAGCATAAAGGTTTAGATATAGCCTAAGAATCCTATGATAATAATAAATATTTCCAACTTTCTATTGTTGAGTTTCCTTAGCTCAAAGTTTGCATTTTCTTGAGTGGAAACAGTACTCCTTATTTTCCTTTTTTTTTCTTCCTTTTTTTTTTTTTTTTTTTTTTTTTTTTTTTTTTTTTTTTTTTTTTTTAAGAACATACCTTGTTGACTTTAAAAGGACATTCTTTGATCTCTGCCTCTGGAAACTTCTTCATCCAATTCGTGATGAAATACGCTGCATTAACTAGGAGGATCTGAGTCTGGTCACTTACACTATCCTCATTCAAAATATTCTCCATTTTGCCTGTGAACAGATTTAAGATGGTTGTTAATGCAACAATACATTATCAGTATATATGGTAACATTTCACTGCATTAAAAACTCTGTGTCCTGCCCGTGACAAAATATTTTAATTCTACTAGAAAATTCCAAAAAGAAGCACTGATTTAAAATTGCAGCTTAATGTTTGAAAGTAGATTTGGGATCAAAGCAGATCTTCCAAATGGCAGGCTTTCTCATCTTATATAGCATGTTATCAAAAATACGTTTACTGCTTTTGTTCAGTACCTTTAAGAAGGTACTGAATTTTCAGTGAAATTCCACAGGTTTAAGCAAAAAAGCTTTTGTCATTTGGACGGCAAGACTTGACGGGAAGTTTCAGATTAGTGGCCTCTCACTTCTAGACTGATACACAAGAACAAAATAACCAGAATAGCAAAAAATGCTGCCCTGATTACAGTTCATAACCAAATACTGCTACAGGCTTCAAAAAGAATATGGAAACTGTTGTGTGCCTCCCCTTTGCTCTGTTTTAGATCTGTGGAGGCACTGCCATAAAAGACACTGAATTCAGGGCACAGGAGAGGCAAGTCTTGCCTTCATGCATGAATTGCACCATCAGGGCAAGTTACTTCCACATGGGCACCTCTGCCAGCCTGGGAAGGACCAGTCATGGATCCAGGTTTTCATATTTGCACCACGCAAGGGCAATAGGCAGCAGCCAATCCCAGAGATATCTGTGCCCAGGCTGCAAACAGGCTCATCATGGGCCCTGGGTGATCTCCTGGGACAGGGCCAGACCTCTGTTCACAGCAGACTGGGCAGACTCTGCCCCAGGGACCCTCATGGTCACTGCGGGGCATCTCCCATAACTCAGCCCTGTGGCTGGTGGCTCAGCAGCACTGTAGGAGAAGTTCCTGCAGCCCCATTCCCACAGGAAGGCAAGTAAGAGATGCACATCTGCTTGTGCCACCCTTGCTGGCAAGAACAGCTGAGCTGAACTAAGCCAAGCTACTAATTAACAGCCTGAAATTCAGAGTTCAGTGAGTGCTTCCCATGGAAGTTTAAAGTAAACCAGGGCCCAGGTGTTTGATGTATCAATGTCAGATGTTTGTGAAGCAACACAACCAGGATTTGTCATCCTCTCAAACTGTCTTGCTGCAGTCAAGTGTGAGCAGCTTTGCCCAAGGCTAATGCAAGGTCAGTTCCATGTTTCTACCTTCAGAAATGCTGCAGTAAGTTAGTGATTCCAAAACAGGCTGACATAGCTAATCCTCATGAATCCAAATAGTAGCTGTAGTCTCATTGCTTTCACTATGTGTTTATTTCTAAAAACATTAGTAAAGAGGTGTCACAAGGACAAAGATCTCTTTCTCCAAAGAGGCAAACAGCACCCCCAACGTTAAGCTGTACTCACCGTCAGTTAGCTCTGAAAGAGATTTGTTGATCTTCTGCCGGGTTTCCTCAGTTTTTTCTTTGAACTCCACTAATTCCAGTTCAGATGGAAAAGGCCTCTTTGTGGAGTTGACAAAGTCCTGAAAGACACAAGGTACCAAAGTCATCATAGGTTAAATGCGATCCCCTCAATGGCTCTTTACAGAGTCTGCAACATCAGCATCTCAAGCTTCACCATAAGGTAGCTGGAGAGTTTATTATGATTGACAGTGGATAACAACCAGGGTGCACAGCTGCATTCAGCACATTGCTCCCAAGGTTGTCTTCAGTCCAGTGGTGTTACATCAGCAGCTAAAGTAACTTTGGTATTGCAGGAGTGACCATGTTTCCACAGTTTGAAAGGATAAAACAACCCTCAGTCCAGACCTGGGTAAGAGAGAAGACTGAGATAAAGGCCACAGGCTGCTCACATCATGTCTGTCCTCACCTGATGAGATGTTTACTGCTGTGGATGGGTACTGGCCTTTGCTGTAGCAGAGGCTGAACAGCAGGCAATCTGATTCACACAATCACAGAATGGTTTGGGTTGGAAGGGACTTTAAAGCTCATCTAGTTCCAACCTACTGCCACAGGCAGGGACACCTTCTGCTAGACCATGTTGCTCAAAGCCCCGTCCAGCCTGGCCTTGAACACTGCCAGGGATGGGGCTGCCACAGCTTCTCCAGGCAACCTGTGCCAGTGCCTCACCACCCTCATAGTGAAGAATTTTTTCCCAATGTCTAATCTAAATCTACCCTCTATCAGCTTAAGAACATTCCCTCTTATCCTATTGATATGATTATAAAATTATTGAATTATTATAGCATCATTTAAACATGTTGAATTTTCTGAAACCCCACTTCTAGGCTGATGTTTGGGGCTCTACTCAAAAGCAAGTTTGGAGGAAAGAAAACAAAGCAAAGCAAAACAAAACAAACAAAACCCCCAAACAAACAAACAAAAAACCACCAACATTTTTCTCAGTTATTTGCAAGGTCCATAAGTTATAAGGCCAAACACCACCTTCTCCAGTTGTGGTGTTTCAATAGCCAGGCTTCTGCCTCCTCAGGCAGATTAAGAAAATACAGCTTAAGCAGTAACTACTTGGGTGTGTGAACTGGACACACACTTGGCCCACAACTTTTTTTAAAACTCCTTTTTGCTCATTCTTACAAGGCAAAGCCCTTGATGTGGCACAGAAGTTATGTCACATTGAAAACCTACTGAGCTACTGGCATAAAGCATATTAATGAAAGAAAAGTGTTGTAATAGTTGCATAGCTTTGGGGCAGGCAGCACACTCATTCGTTCTCCTACAAACTTTTATGGCATCAGAGAGTATGACATTGTTCATCATCTGAGTCTACCCAATTAACAGTCAAAAGTGAGAGAATTTATTTTAAATAACATTGCAGTCTGACACCATAACCCACCAACATGCTGGCCTAGCAATTCATAGCACCAGGCTTTTCTGCAGTACTTACTGTGGTAGGATTAAGAGACTTGTCTACAAAGAGCCGTTTGACCATTTTCAGTGCAAAGAAAGAGCTGAGTTTGGAAACATCTGAAGTTATTGTTTGAAACCCGAAAGAAACATCTTTGACATCTTTTAAATGGAGTACCTGTAAAATGAATATAATAAAACACTAAACATCTTTCTTCTTAGTATTATAATTTAAATATTCCTAACAGCTTAGCAAAAAGTAATGCTAGTTTGTGACCAGAATTGTGGCTTTTTGTATTTAAGCTAGCAACAGAACACCTCACTGTTCTTACTTATAAAATCATTTTTTTGACATCCTCACATAAATCTAAAAACCTGATCCTAACAGAACTTCACCAATTGCATTTCTTTCCTGTGAGCAGTCCAAAGAAATCAACAGAGCTGTTCATGCTGGCTTACTCAATTAAAATGCTGCAGTATGTGGTCATGTTTTCACCAGACATACATTCCTGTCAAAAAACCTGGAGCTTTTAAGCCAGATAAATGAGGGTCCCAGTTAGTCTCCTTTCTAGAAGTGAGCTACATATTTAAAAATACTTAACAGATCATCAAGTTTTCCAATTGCTGTGATTGACACATGACAGGGACTGCAGCAATAGGACAAGCAGTAATGTGTTCAAACTTAAACAGGGGAAGTTTAGGTTACATATAAGGAAGTTCTTTACTGTGAGGGTGGTGAGGCACTGGAACGGGTTGCCAAAAGAAGAGGTAAATGCTCCATCTCTGGCAGTGATCAAGGCCAGGTTGGACAGAACCTTGGGCAATATGGTCTAGCATAAGGCATCCCTGCGCATGGCAAGGGGTTGGAACTAAATGACCTTAAGGTCCTTTCCAACCCAAACCAGTCTATGGTTCTATGATCCTATGACATCATGTGGCACTTCAGCAAAAAATTATCAGATAAGTATGTCTGTTTTGGCAGATGAAGTATGAGCTGGAAGTAGGGCTGCTGACCCACACGTGGCCACCTCCCAGCTCCTGGGAATGACAAGTCCAGTTCTACGATGTGCTGGGGCGACCTAAAACTTACTGCTTTTACGCACCAGAGGTGAGAGGTTTCTGCTGGTCTTGTTTGAAAACAACCCTGTAAATATGAATTGAATTCCTAATGCCTGCTTATTACAGGGTCTTTGATGGTGGCTGTTTCATTACAGGCAGCCCGCCCAACCTTCCTCACCTGCCTCAAATTCCTGCATGAAACATAGCAGGCGCTACCAACCTTCTGTTCCCTTTGTCCTTCACTCCTGCTCTTTCTCCCTGAACACATCGTATCTTTACAGACACAATAAATTGCTGGTCTGCCTTAACCACCCCTTTATGTCTTCCCCTGTCTTTGCTCAGTGGGAGCAGAAGGAAATAAGCTCCCAAGGGTACAGCACCAGCACAGGTCTCATAGCCAAAGTCTACAGTCATTTCCTCAGCAACAACTTTCTCTACTTACTTCCTTTTCCTCCAACAGTTTTATTTCTTAGCATGTTACGTGCAGAAAGCTTCTGTTCCTGGAAACTACATTTGGGGAGAAAGCTACGCTACTGCAACTTCTATACCTGTGAGAGCCTTTGGCAAAAGTTTGTTAACTGGTATTCCAGAGTAAGACGACCAGTCTGGTTCCCTTTGCATATAGTATTTAAAAATCAAGCATGAACTCAAGGGCAGGCAGAAACTAGAACAGACACGGAAAACAGGAGATGTTACATTTAGAAACATACCAAGCTCTCCTGAATATTTGGAGTCAGCACTTTTTATATACCACTTGAGAAATATGAAACATGAATGCATTTATGTAACAGAGATCCATTTGTGGATCTGTATGCTAACTTATTATAGGATGGTTCAAAGCTAATTACAGACATAAGTGAAAACAAAATTAAGAGCAGGTTAATAATTTTGAAATCTTCCATTAGGAAGAAAATGCTTAAATTCTGAAATGGTGAAGAAGCTGCAGGGGTCATCTAAATAAAAAATAAATAAATAAATAAATAA